AATCCCACAGCAATCCAGGAGCCAGGGTCCCTGTAGATGACTGAGGGCACACACTTACCCCAACCGTGCACGGATCACTCAAGGGCTACATTCACTTTATTCTTTTAATGTCAACTTTAAGATTCATTCCTTTAAAAAGAGCATTCATCGTGTACACATCATTTCAATTTTGCTACTCACTACAAGATAAATTATAGCCTTTAATTTGCACAATTTCAACAAAAGTTGTATTTCAGTGGTTGCAGACGCATAGTCTCAGCCTTCAGAGTGTATTTCAGCATCAAGGCCACTGTAGCCACCTGTTCCGGGGACAGCAACTGCCTTTAACTTTGTTGACAGGCGCTCAAAGTGTGGAAGCCCATCTGCAGGGTACCGGAAAAGTGCAAACAGCTCTTAGACCCTGTGTGGAAATATGCACGAGAGATCAGGCCTCTGGCTCTGTGAGTCCCCGAGTCCACAGCATCTGTGCACACAGAAGCCTGAAGCCCATCAGGCTGCCCTACGCCTTATCGGCCTACAGTTTCTCCAGCTGCCACTGGTGACTACAGCTCAGTATTGCACCATAGTGTAGGAAGCTCTGAGAATCCACGTCCAGGACTCAGGAGCAGGAGATCTTCTTTATCAGAGGGAAGATTATGATGACCAGACGGCTGCTTGTATAAGCAAGGGGCTTAATCCTATTGGGTGGAATTTTCACACCCTATTTACATAAAAAGCAACCAGTCCACATGGACTACACTGGCCAATCCCCTTACAAGTGGCACTGTCTGCAATGATTCACTTACAAGCGCCTCCTGCTGGTAGGTGTCAGCTCCAGAAGCCACTCAGTGAGCTTCTCCCAAAGCCTCTAATCTAAGGTCATGCTTTTCCCTTTTGCTTTTCTCTTTCAGCCATGAGACTTGTAATAAGGAGTACATTTTTTTATACAACTTAAAAAAACTTACATTTTTATTTAGGTGAAGATTTACAGAGCAAATAACCAGTTTTGCATTCAATAATTTATACACATTTTGCTTCTACTCATTCGTTTCAGTCCCCTCAATGAACATTCCTTACCCTGTTTCTAATGTTTTGGGAATGCTGAGGGCAACAAATGTACAGATGTGCTTGACATACAGTGGATGGATATATGGGTTGTGATAAGAGTTGTAGAAGCCCCCAATAAAACGATTTTTCAAAAAAGAAAGAAAGAAATACCCAAATCTACACACACACACAAAATGAACAAGGAATGGAAACAGAAGTTAAATTCTTTGCATAGCGGGGATAACTCTTAAAAGCATGTTTCTCAATAAAGTCATCATCTTTTTTGTCCTAATTTTCTCACTCCTCCTCATTTCATTATCATCGTGGTCTTTCCCCTCTAGCTTCCTTCTAGGTTTCAGAAAAGAAACCGGTCTCTGTCACGCTCTGCATGTGTCTTCTTCTTTTAAAGTCTGGTTTCTGTTCTGTTTATGCAAACTCCTTTCTATATTTTTCTCCATCTGAATAGACTTGTCACCTGCCCATTTATCCTAGATTTTTGTAGTACATCCATGAAAGACCGGAGGTTGTCCCTTGACGGTGGTTGGTATTCCCTCATTCCTAACTTTTTTTTCTTAAACAGTTTTATTGGAACACAAATATCACACAATTCAATAGTTCAATTATATCAAGATGTGTTGTACAATTCTTACCACAATCAACTTTATGACGTTATCTTCTTTCTTGTACCCCTTGTTATTAGCTTGCATTCCCCTCCCCCACACTCCCACACCATACCGCCAAGAAACCGTTACCCCAGTTACTGTCTCAACAGATTTGCCTACCCTGGATTTCATCTACTTAAAAACATGCGCAAAGAAAGAAACAGAAAAGTTAACAACAGTAACCAAATAAAATAGAGGGGTAAAGCCAGCTGAAAATAAAAAAATGTTCAAAAAGTAGAGCAGGTTTAAACTGGGTCAAAATGTGACCAATCGATAAGGTGCTAGATGTTAGCCTAACTACATGTGCCATAGGACCCGTTCAAATGCACTCTCCATGACAGTACCCGTAGTCACGTCCCTGGTTTGCGTTCAGAAGAATTTGTGGAGGGGTCATCTATGTATGGGAAATGAAAATGCATTTTCTGGACTTCCACGGTCAATCATAGATTCTCCACACCATGTCTTCACAATTTATTCTCTGATACCATTTCTTCTTTCATATTTGGATTACATGATTTATAATCCATGGATCACACCAGCTGGTTTGTTTATCCCATGTGGACATACTTGACACCCCACTTACATGCTGCATCTTTGAAGACAAGCTTTCATGACCACAGATGCTATATTTTCTGATAGCTGGGCACCGTCTAGTTTCTTCACTTTGCTATAGTGATTTCTTCAGTGATTTCTCCATTAGATTGAGGATCAAACAAGGTCATGTCATAAGAACTGATTGTTCTTTGATTGGAGTTAGAACAAAGTGCCAGGCCAAGATTCATTCCTGTATCCATAGTTTATATACGTCTCTAGTTCCCCTTAGAAACATCATTGTGATTTTGGTTAGAGAGTATTAACTATCAGGCAAATCTACTGAGAGTGCCATTAACTTAGTCCATGGTAGAGAATTTAAAACACAGTTTTAACTAGAGATTGGACAAGTATAAGCTGGCTACCAACCACAGTACGTGAATTATTGACTACCACAGCCTAATTCTTTAACCTAACTAACCTAGTGATTTCAAGAACGATGAAGACACTAACAGAGAGCAACCACCATCACAATTATTCAACTACAAAACTTATAACAAGAAGATAAGACCTACAAAATTCCCATGAACATAACCAATTTCTCCACCAGAAGAAAGAACTTACTCTTCAACACACAATCAGTTCTCCCAAAATTATTCTCCCTCAATAAACAGAAAGTCAACAGAACCTCTAAAACTCATGCACAGTACCCCTTAATCCGTGCTATTAGACAGCCAAGTCTCCGGGAATTCCTTCTTCAGTGGCTACAGCTACAGTCAAACCAAGTTCTACTAACATGCCTCCGAAATAATTAGAAAAGGCAATTAGGGCTAAAAAAGATCCCTCCAAATTTAATAGAATTCCACACCCCTTGCTACCACTACAACTTAAGCACAAAGCATTATAAATAGGAAAACGCTTAGAAATAAGACCAAAACAACTAATTACAAACACCACACTTGTCACAAATCTAGATATATCATAATTCTTACATCGAATTACAGCATAACCAAGGATAAGAGAAAACATCTTATTTCAACTGCAAGAACTTTTTCTGACCAACATTCCCCCAATCCACCCCCCCCATTAAAATGATCAATCCCTATATTATTGACCTTGCTGTCTAATGCATTATCTTAGTGTGGTACAACTTAGATAACTGCCTGGAGTTTGCCTTACACTACAAATCCTACACCACATTACATTTTGTCCAAATTAACTCCGTTCTCCTCAGTCACACAATTTTGCCCATATATAAATTTCTGCTGCATCATCCGTCGTCTCCACTTAAATGGAGGTTGAATATTTTTTATCTGATGGTTCATGTCAGACAAGGAATTTGCTACTCTTACTACTTAATGTGTAGAAACATGAAATATTGGGAGGGAAATTGTTTGCATTTATAGTAATTTATTTTATACAATATGTCCTTCCATGATGACAAATATCTTTTGGAGGTACCACAATTATTGCAAATCTCTTTTCAAATATCTCATATCAGAACAGATTTATTAGAATGAATAGGATAGGAGGGTTTCTCTGTTGATAAAGACTCACTCCCTCAATTTTTCACTTCATTCTTAAATTTATTGTAGCGGGGTTAGCAACAGTCCATGTTGTTTTCTCTAGGAAACAGGTTCCAATAACCCAGCAGAGTACATCTCATTCCCCCTTACTAACATTATTAAAGACCTCTGAGGATTCTGCAGTGAGTGCTAGTGGCAGAAGGAAAGCCCAGCCTTGAAAACCACCAGCCACCAGAGTTCTGTGGGAGAAAGACCAGGCTTTCTACTCCCATCAAGGATTGCCCTCTCAGAAACTCCCTCGGGCAGTTTGCCCTGTCCTAATAGGGTGACTTATGAGTCCGTCTCGACTCCATGGAGGGAGGTTGGTTTGGTTTTTGAGGAATGTCCGGGTGAATGTTTCCTACAAAAGCTCACCTTCTTGCTCCTGATACATTAGGTGACTGGGGAACACAGCCCAGCACCCAGTGAACACACCACACACAAAACCAGAAGAAGACTTTCTATCGGCATACGCTGTTTTTAACCATCTCGGCCTAACATTTTCGGTGTCATTTTCGGTTTGAGCCCCTGTGGGCTCCCTTCTCATCCTAGCAATTTTCCAAACCTCCCAAACCCGTTTTGAACTTCAGCAGCAGAATTTGAACTTACCCTAACACGAATTGGAGGTAAACCTGTAGAACACACTTTAATCATCATTGGACAATTGGTTTCAGTCTTCTATTTGGCCTTCATTCAATATCATCTTCATACCAGCTATCAGGATGTTTGGAAACAACCTCTTACAAGGAAGAATCTGTGTGGTATCATTATTATAATGGTCCTGTGCACCATAGATGGAAATTCTCAAACAGGTATTTCACTGTTCAGAAAGAAACTATCTGCCCCGCCATCACACTCAGAGCTGGTATTTATATTAAAGAATCCTGAATACATTCTGTTAGCCTACTTTCATTCACTTTGGCTTCTTGCATATTGTACCCCTGCAATTCCATGAAAATGCCCCTTGAAGCATATACTTAAACTGTTTTTGAGAAAGTTTTAGCAACAGGAAGGGCTAACATGTAAACTATAAATTCAGGACAAAATCTACTGTGCAGAAGAAAATTTTAATGTTAACTTTGTGAAAACTGTATATTTCCTACACAGATGCATGCACTAATGCATAGGCACAAGTATAGGATGCAAAATCAATTCTAAATGTTTGCAGTCCTGAATGCTGAATGTCAGAACACAATTGAGAAGAAAACAAACGTGCATCTTTTAAACTGACCTCCGTTTTATTGAAATAATTGAAAATCTGCGTCCCAGAAACTCCCCTCCAATAACAGTACGAGGGGTTGCTTCTCAGCTTTATTTTTGGCAGTGACAAACAATGAAGGCCCTTCCTTCCCCAGCAACTAGAAAACCAAAGCTGTGGGCCCACGGAGCTCAGGGGTTAGGCCCCTCTTGGCAAACTGCTCCAGAGCCTTCAGTGCCCGGGGAAGGATCCACGGGCTGAGATGGAAGCTTAGGTATTGCCCCTCCTTTGCATGCTGAGAGCTCCCTCATACGGAAACATAGGGGCAGGAATGCAGTGCATCACCAGGTCAAGTTGTTCCAGGAAGGGGTTGGTGGAAGTTCGTAAGAGAAGAGGGTCTTCCTCAGTCCATCTGCTAAAGTGAGGGGAAAGGGAAACACACTCCAGATGAGCAAGGCCATCCGTGTCCAGTGCACCCCATTCCTGCCTTAGGCCAAGGGTCTGGTTCCCCTTGTGGGGTAGAGAGGAACGCCTGGCATTGCTAAATGACAGGGCACTGTGCAGATCCACCAGTGCTGCATGGGAGAAAGGTCAAGCTGTCTGACCCTGTAAAAACGTACAGCTTTAAGATAGCAGGGGGTTTGTATTTTGTCTCCATGACAATGCCCCTGTGACTGATAATCCACCCAAGCACCTGCCACCCACGCCCACGCAGGGTCCCCCGGAACTTACACAGTTATGACGCTGCCCTGAGTCGTGACTTCTCTATTAACCCCGGTGCCAGTGTTCTGGGTACCTTGCAGCACGTTATGTTGAACGAACTCTGCTACCAGGGGGGACTCCAATGGGACGTTCAGAGAGCTACAAGTACGTTGTTAAGGGACCACTGGACACTGGTCTTCTGCCCCAGCCACCTTGTCATCTCACGACAACCTGAAGCAAGGCATCCTCTCTACAGAGCCTCCTCCACCAAGCAATGTCCAGCTCCAGCGCCCCTTGACTTCTTCCCTCCCCCTTTCGCAGGGTTGCTGCTCCACCCCCACCCCACCCCCAAATACCACACACTGCCCATCTCCTGCAATTCTGTCAGATCTTCCCCGCTCACTGTCTGTCCTCAGCACCCCAGTTCTTGCGCTGTCTCCCACTGACCACGGCCTCCTTGAGGCAGTCCTATTAGACACACACACCCCTGCCCCGGACGTAATCGCGGGCCGGTCAGGGGAAACGTCTGTCCTGGAAAAGGATACCACACCAGCATTTGGTTTTCCGGGGCTCCGGGTGCAGGCACATCGTGAGGCGGCACCACCCGTGGAGCTGGAGAGGCAGAGATGGTTAGCGGCTCCTGGACACTGACGACCGGGGTTTTCACCCGCGACCCCGCCTACATCCTCACCAGAGCCATCGCCCCCCGCCCCCCCACACACACACCCACAGCAGGGCCACCTTGATGGCGACAGCTGAGGCTACTCAGGTCTCGGGGAGCCTCCCGGCCACTGAGAACACCATGAGGGCGCCCCCTGGCGCCATGCTGGGCGCACGGCCTCGAGAGCCATCAGGGCCGCTGTGGCCTCCGGTGCCCTCAGGACCACCCTGCTCACCGGAGTCATCAGCTCTTCCGTGACCAGACTGGCCATCAGGGCCGGGCGGACCTTCTGCCCCTGCTCCGTCCGGGCTCACCCCACCGGCACTTTCACCTACGGCCGACATGTCTGCTCCTCAGCCTTGAAATCTCTGTTCAGAGCTCAATGGCTGCCAGTGACATCCGGGGCCTTGTCAGCTCGCCCCCCGCCCCCCACGCTAACCCAGTGCGCATGCACGAACTCCCCACGTGACTACTTCCTGCTCAAAGGGGAGGGCTCCAACCCAGGAAAGGCCCGGTGGGCTTGCCCTGCCTCCCAGTGCCGGCTGTGATCCCAGGGCGTCTGTTGCTGCATCCAGGTGCGCCATTGCATCCTGACCACAAGACCGAGTTGTGTCAAGGCGCAGAGCTCAACCTGCTCCCATTACACAGGGTGTAGCCACAGAGCACCTGAGCCACCCCGTTTCTAGGGGACCTAGTGTCTACACCCATGCCTTCCCAGGGTTCAATGCAGTACCCCACAAGGGACAGGCCTGGCCTGGTCGAACATTTCGTGGTCAGCTCTGAATATGGCAGGGAATGGACCACTGGACTTAGATGATCTGGGCCCGGTGGTTGGGGCTGTCCCTAGAGCCCACACCACTATCCCTGGTGCAGCAAGCAGTGAGGACAGGGTGTAGGTCCCTGTAGGCGAGGCCACTGTGTCACAAACCAGGCTTCAGCGTGAATTCTTTCTCTTGCGAAGCCAAGGATGAAGGTACAG